TTTATAAATTAAAATAGTGAAAATTGGATATTTGAATTATAGCCAAAATTAGCTTTCAATTGTAGCCAAAATCGGACCACGTACCAGCCCAATCTCCTAATCAATTAACTTGACCCAGGCCCCAATTATTCCTACCCGACCCAAGCCATCATAAATCCTGGCCGTTGATCTTTTAGATCAACGGTCCTTACTCCCCCTTTCCTTTTTAATTTCCAAACGACCCCTAACCCTAAGTCATTTTTTCAAAGGCGCCGCCTTCAGATGCTCTCTCATCTCCACACTTCTCTCAAACCTAACCCTAGACTCCTCCACTCACCTCCTTCTCCGGTCATCTCCGACGACTATCTCTCAAATCCCAAGCCTCCAATGGTCACTCCACCGCCTTGCTCATCATCTCTAAGGCCCTCAAGGGTTTTGGGCCATGACGATTTGGACATAGGGTTTCTGATTCTGTTGTTCGAGGCTTCTCTGGTGTGATTTTGGGCAAAATCACACCATGTGTGTTACGATTTGTGAAGTTACAACAGGTTCTTTCGATTTCTACTTAGGTTTCCTTTTGAAACCCTAACTCTCTTCAGTTTTCTCATATCTAGGTTATTTTTATGCTTTAAGCCTGTTTCCTTCTATGATTTGCTTACTCTCGAGCTTTCTTCTGAAAGATCCTCTATTCTAAACCGTTTTTACTTTCTTTGAAAACTAGAGTTTTCTCGGAGTTCTTTCTATACCTGTTTCAACCAATTTCTTCATGGTCAAACCTTTTTCCCTTGTTTATTTTGACCGATTCTATGTTCCTACTGCTTTTTAACTCAACTCTGTTAAAAGCCCTATTTTTTTTTAAAAAAAGATTTTTTTTTCTTTACTTGTTTCTGTGTGTTAGCATGATTTTTCTTTAGAATCTGTGTGTTAGCATGATTTTTCTTTACTCATTTCTGTGTGTTAGCATGATTTTCTTTACTCTGTTTCTGTGTGTTAGCATGATTTTCTTCACCTTGGCTCTGTGTGTTAGCATGATTTTCTTTGCCTTGGCTCTGTGTATTAGCATGATTTCCTTTGCCTTAGCTCTGTATGTTAGCATGATTTTCTTTGCCTTGGTCTTGTTAATCTCTCGTGGTCACCATGCTTCGAATATGTTCTGCTGAATCTTTAGCCTACTTATATCACCTCTATATGACTGTGTTTGCTTATCTCTTATTTCTTTCTGCCTATATAATTGACCTTGTTTGTTTGCTACTTCTGTTCATTCGTCTCTATTTATATGTGGAAATATGCAGAATCATGACTCCCCATGATTGATTCTAATTTTCCTTAACTATTGGTAATTGAAAGATTTTCCTTCAAAGCCCTAGAGTTCTACTCGTCTGTTTGAATTAACTGATTTCATTACCTTATTTACTATGGTACTTTGTTTTACTTAGTCTTTCCTTAATGGGGTCTTTCTGAATTTGGTCCTATTTGACTACTTTATGCCTACTGAACTCTGGCTCCTTTCCTTATTTAATCATGCACCGATTCTTCTTCTTGCCTTATATGGTACTGAATCTTTCCGTTTGATCTTAATTCCCCGAACTTAAGAAAGTACTTCCTTGATTCTCTAATTGATTGATTCTGAGTTCTTAAATTAGTGTACTACTATGATTTTTTTACCTTATTCCACTACCTACTTTCAACTATAAATACTCTAAGTCTTTCACAAACAAGACACGGACACTTGGCTTTCAAAAACTCCTCTCTTATTAAAAACCTCTGTTCTCCCTTCTTCCTTGTGTTATTTTGCTACTATTGGCCGGCTGCAAGCCAAGGCTAATCATCTGTGCTCTTTGGTTCTTTCATTCTGCTTACTTCTATCTTCACTAGTATGTCCAAGTTTAATTTAAAGCCTCAACAACAACATGTTTCTCTTCTTGTTTCAGTTTCTTTTATTTCTAGCCTGCTTTTACTTGTGGTTCTGTTGTGAAGTTTGTAGTTAGGCATGCTAGTATGATTCCACTCCCTTTAAATTCATGTATTCCCTTGTGTGATTCAAGCATGCCTGGACAATTGTTTGTTAACCTACTGTGTGCTTACCATTCTTATGAGTCCCCAACTCCCTATCCCCCTATGTGTTTATATTCTCCCTGATTAGTTTGTGATTATGCCAGTTTCAATTATTGCCGAGCATGTCCAAGCCAGTCCAAATACCCTTGCCAGGGTTATATGTTTGCAGTCAATGGCTGTGCATCCCCAAATCCCTATCCCTCTTGTGTGACTATTGAACTCATTTGGGTTCTGTGTGGGATCCCATCCTGAGTTCTCGATTTTGTTTATCATTCCAAACTTTTCAAACAACCTCTATTACCTTACTGACTGCTTTCAAAAATAGACTTTTAAGTCTAGTCTTTAGTAAACTTCTTTCAACTTGTGTCCTGCACTTTCACTCTACTCTTAGTTAATAAGTTATGCCCCCTCTAGTATGTGTACTTCCTTGGGATCCTCTTGAGAACCCTCTGAACTCTGGCATACTGAGGCTGGCCTTTCCACACTGCACTGGTTCAATGCTTGGCTACTAAGTCTAGGCGTAATCATTGCCCGGGGTCCTTGAGACCCTTAGGGAACTTTGATGCACCTAGAGTCTGATTTGTATATGGAAATGAGGTTTGAAAGACCATTGGAGGCTTTGGGAAACTTGGGCCTAATTGCAGACTCTCTATAGAATAGCTTCTTGATTTTTTTATTTCCTTATGTAATTCATTTATTGGCCTGTAATAATTTGTAAACAGATATTTGGGGGTATTTAGTAAAAGGGTGGGTAGATGCATATTTTGTAGGGTAACATGGGTAGAAATCCTGCCCTTAGGATTTATTTTCAAATCTGCCTGCTTCACTCAATAGAAAATATGTCCATAGGGTTTTTATTCTTGTTGAATCTGATTGCTTTTGCATAATAAAATCATGCCTATAGGGTTGCGCGTTTAACTTCCTTTGCATCACAATAGAGAATCATGCCTATAGGATTCCGCTTCTAATTTCCTTTGCATCAAGTAGAAATCATGCCTATAAGGACCTCACTTTTAATGTCTTTTAATGCCGTTTGCATCAAATAGAAACCATCTTCGTGAATTCTGCATTTGTCATGTTAGAAGCCATGTTTCTAGGTTCCAAGCCATCACGTCTTAAATTAATTCAAGAATATATACCATGGCTAAAGGACCTAATCCAATTTCAGTTACAACGAGTGTTTATGTATGTTTTTATGCCTGCAAATCGTTCACAATCAGTAATACGCCTAGATATCATGTTTATAGGGATTTCTATTCGCAGTTATGTCTGATAATCTGATTAGCCTAATGAATCAATGTCATTACGCCTAGTTCATCTTCTTACAACTGGTCTTATTAAGCAACGAGATTTCCTGCAACTAGTTCTTTTGAAAGGGCTTTAATCTAATTAGATATCCTATCTATAGATATTAAAGGGGGTCTATTTTGAAAACTTGTTTGTTTCTGCATTAACAAGACATAGTACTACATATAGGCAAGCCTTAGGGCATTTTCAAAATCTGCATTTCTCTGAAGTTGTTTCTCTCATTCAACGTTTCTGATTCTAATAACCTTTAAAAGAATTCCTAGGCAACTGCTAGGTTATAACTTCTGGGTATAAAAGTTTGGTCTATTTCTGCACAATCACTTAGAGATCCTGCTTTAGGACTTTGATTAATAAAGACCTTAACTGTGTTTGAGTCGTGCTGCTTGCATGTTTACTTGAGGAGGAAACTTGAGCCTTTTTATCTGCTCCCATTATGTGAAAGTCCTGCATGTTTTGACTGTCGCCTTAGATTCTTGCCTTTGAAACCTTAGGGGTACGTCTAGAACCACTTATATATAGAGGTCCTAACTCCCTCCGGGACTATTGGGAAGGGACGGTAGCAGCACGCAATAGGAATCAGTGACCAAACACTCGCTTTGCATGACCAATAAGGGTGGGAAGGGTAGACATGGGATATGATGACTACGCGTTAATGTCACGTGTAGCCCCTTATTGAGGAGTGTTTACCGGACATTGCGTGAGGTGATCCTATAGGATAAACAACCTAGGACCCCTCCTTAACCCAAATCCTCTCCTTTTTTTTAAAAAAAAGAAAGAAAAGAAAAAACTTTGTTTATATAATTTGTTCAAACCTTTATTTCACTACTTGACTTGTTCAATGAGTTTTACAACTTATTTGATTTAACTATTTGTATGGACTAATGTGTAAATATAAGTTCGATCGGGACCCACAGTTGTGGACCAAGAGGGATGCCTAACACCTTCCCCTCGTGGTTATTTCGAGCCCTTACCCCAATCTCTGGTAATGCAAACCAACCCAAGAGTTAATCACTCTAGGTGCCCTAACGCACCATAATCCATTAGGTGGAGACTATTCTAATACCCAATTCCCAAAAGGAAATGAGTCATTACACCCCGTGAATGTCGAAACCCGGACCTCCTCCCCGCGTAGGGAAGGAAAAAAAAGGGGGCGCGACACCAGTTTCTTTTCAGTGTAATTTAACATATTATATTGGATTATTCACAATTTATGTTAGATATTCGCCAATGAGTGCTACTTAATAAAATGAACTACAATTATTGTTTAAACTGATCAGAAGATGTAAATATTTTTTAGTCAAGTTTTGATACTGTCAATGGTCAAAACTTAAACTATTACATTATGTACGTTTATTTCTTTTGCTTGTTTGTGATGATAGCCAAATCAAAATTTTCACTTTGAGTTCCTCACCTCAACATCCGATAATCCACCATGTTATTCTTTGTGCTCTTCTTTTTTTTTTTTTTTTTTGAAATTCGCTATTTTTTGTCGGAAATGATTAATTTATTGTCAAGAAAGTAAATTTTTTTGTTAGTGTACAAATTTTATAAAATAAATTCTTCTAAATATGATTTCGCCTTACGCCACGAGATATAGTTGAGCCGCCCCTGTGTTTGCAGATTGAGGGCACTAGGAGAAAATCCCACAAAAGAAATGATATTCCAAATCGACAAAGCTGACTAATTTCCATTTTGCTTTAAGAAGCCTCTACTAAGCTTTTGAATTTAACATCACACTGGTAGTCAATACAGAAAGAGATACAAAATGATATTGGGAAGAGTTAAATAATATCTTCCCAAAAAGGAAATAACTCTTGCACCATCAACTTCTCTTGATTCTTCTCAATACTTTCTCACCAAGAAGCATAGTCACTGGTGAACTATAATTTACAATAACTTTTTGCTCACTCTAGTAACTATGTTTTACATGCAATTTGTGTTGACCTTTTCTTTAAAACTTGGGCAAGAAAATTAAAAGAAAAAAAAAAAACACAAATGAAGTATTAGTACTATCATGAGCTTTCTTGCATTTTTACCTCTCTAATTCCTGTTTACAGAGAGGACAACAAGATATAATTCTGAGCCATTGATCCACACATTTGAGATGGAATATATGAGAACAAGGCAATTGTCTGATCTCTTCTTTGTCTCTGTACTTGACCAAACAGATACAACATTCCTGTTATTCCACAAATTTGTTAGGCTTTAATTTGAGGAATGATGTACAAATTTCCTTGCTACTTACTTTTTTTTCTTTTTCTAAGTGTGTATTTGGTACAATGAAAGTCCGAAAAATGTTTTCTATAAAATAATTCATTTTTAGTGTTTGGTAGCCAGAAAATATTTTTTAGACGAAAAATGTCTTCCTTCACTTCAGGACGGAATTCATTTTCCTTCATAATTATGTCAAACTCTTAACTTAAAATCACTTTCGTCATACCAAAAACATCCTTTCTTAACAATTTGTTTCTTTTCTAATTCTAGGTGTTTAATAAGGAAACAGATCACTTACAGCATTTTCATTATCTATAGCTGAAGTCTGAAACTCCTGTTTATTTCCAATTTCATTGTATTTCCAGCTTGGTAGATTGGAGAGTTGTTCATCAGATGCGCCTCGATGGAGCGATCCCATGTTCATGTTATAGCCAAGAAGACTACTCAATAGTGGCACACAACAGCATAACAATACAAACAATATGAAGGGGAAAGAGTAAGTGACAGCATTCCAAGCTAGCAGTGAGATGCAGAGGACATGAAGTTTTGGAGCACGATGGAATGATCCAAAGCGTGAATCAAACACCCAAACATTCCCCATTACAAACCATATGGCGAAGAATAATTCTATACAAGTCCGACATCTCTCCAGCAGAGGCGGCAAGGCCCTGGAAAAACAATTTTACACATCTAAAATATTGAAAATCAAATTAATAATCTTGATAATTTACTTCTTACAGCGAATATACGGATAGTATAACACTTTTTGCGTTGTTAGTGCCTATAAGTTAAATCATTGGAAATTTATCTTTTATTCTATTACATCTGATCTTAAATGGTTGTACTCTATGCAAATTCTTGAAAAATCTAAAATTAAGTAAGTTTGTTGATGTAGCTAAGTCTAGTTTATGCACAAACGTATAAGTTCATCACAGCCACATTGTTTAATGGTGGAGAAAGAAACAATTTGAGACATTTGGTTCTTGTAGACAATTTTTAAATCTTTTCTTGCCACCAGCCGAACCACATGACTCAAAACAACAGAAACAAGAAATGCAGCCTAGTCAAAAGTCAAATGAGGATTACGTTATTAAAATTGGAGCCAAGTATTAAAATAGAACAAGTATTGAGCTATGGATTAGAGTGATTTTTTATTTGTTTAACACATGTTGAAAAATGAATACAAAAGCGAGACCTGTCAAATTCTTTATGCATGTCAACACAAAATAGCATTTGATATGTTCAAATTCAAGAAGGTATTCATTATGTGGATGGAAACCATGGCGTCTATTGAGCCTCAAATTACCCCTGAGGGAGCAAGGGAAGGGAGAAAATTACGGTCAATTCTCTCTATAACAGCATCGTTTGTTTCGAATATTTTTTGATGTTATAGCGAAGTGTTGTTATAGAGAACATATATTATAACATAACACAAAAATTGATTCTGAAAAAGCTTGGTTTTTATAGTAAAGTGTTGTTGTATGGCGATACTGTTATAGAGAGGTCTGTCTGTACCACTCATTCCGTCCATATTATTTGTCTTTTTAAAATGTTTGCACACCTCTCAAAAAAAGATATTAGTCTTATTATAAAGATTACTCTTCCTTATTTGATACTCCACTAACTGGTATCTACGAAAAAAAATAACAAAAGTGACCATGTCAAATATTTTTACAGAGATTCATTTTGCCAAAACGACTAATATTTTGGACAGGGTGAAGTATTACCTTGATTCATCATGGTTTATTTGCTGCTCAATATCAGAATCATCTCTTTGCCTGATATATAATGCCCAATAGCGCCAATAAAGCAGAATCAGACTAAGTACACATCCAAAAGAATATCCAAATACCCAAATCCTCATTGGCCAAACTGGCCTTTCTTCCTTTGAAATAGCCAGTGTGTATGTTGTGACAATTATCTGAATACTTAAAGCTATGCACTCCATCATCATCCAAATCACAGAATTAAAAGGATTTGAACCAAGTTCTGATCTTGAACCATTTTGGTAATGAAAAACCCTTCTTAAGAAACTGAAACACCTTGATCTTGATATTCTAATAGCCATTCTTATCAAGAATGACGAAAGTGGTGTCCTTGATGAAGACATGTTTCTAACATTAACATCCATTGTTTCTTCCACAACTTCAGTTGCAATTGTCGGTAAAGGAACAACAACTCTAGAACTACATAACGAGTCTGTCGTAATGAAGTAACGACTATTCATTGTGAATGATGACTCTCTATCAATAGATTCAACTAAAACCAGTATTTTCAATACGAAATACAGATATATAGTAAAAAAAGAAAAAGAGTGTAATGGGTTCGGTGATAAGAACCAAAATATTGAACAATTAAATTTAAATCATGGAGCCGACTCTTTTAAGAAATTTGTCAACGAGGAGAAATTTCCAAGAACTTTCAAATTCTTACTGCTATCAAGTAATATATCATCAGTAATAATACCATATAGCATGTGGGTGGAGAGACAATGATTATTACAGAATTTTTCAAAGAAAATTCCCTGCTAGCATGTCACAGCAATAATTTCCCAAGTTGAACCTATTACATAATTTCAAGAATCTCTAAGAAAGTGAAGAAAATGGATAGAATAGAGAAAAGAGGAATGGAAGTAGGAATAAAAAGGGAGAAAATAAGAAGAGAAAGAGGTTATGGGGTTGAACAAACATGACAGAGGAAGGTGAAGTTTGGGTTCAGATGGTGACCAATAATCAAACAGCCCCTTTTGCTTTGATTTCAAGTGAATTTTTTTAAAATAACCGTTGGCCTAACTTCCTCAGACGTTTTAGGCTTTATTATTATTTTTTTTTTTCTTTTTGTTTATTGAGAAAGCAAAGTATGAAAGCTGAAAGCATTGTGGGGTTCTTGAAATGCACATTTACTCTTTGAGTCGTTTTGTATGTGGATTAGAATTAGAACATCAGCAAAGAGTATTCTAATTTTCCCTGATGTTGACGTTGAGTCAATCCCATTTTTTATACTATAAGGGCCGTTTGGTAGAGGTATAAGTAAATATAGTGCCGGTATAAAAAATTTAATACCACCTTTATACTTTGTTTGGTTAGCAAATTTGGTATAAGTTATCCAGGATTAAAATTAGTATCGAGATAACTTATACATTGTAGGGAGTGGGATAATTAGTGCCAGGATAACTTATATCTTTTTCTTAGAAATTATGCAATTGTCATTTTTAATATAACATGCCAAACAAAAAAATTAAAAAATAATACCAGAATAACTAACCCCAGCATAACTTATCCCAACATAACCCATATTCAAACCAAACGACCATGTTAACTTATTAGTATTTGGATAGCTACGTAATTAAGATTTTGAAATTTCTGGCGGGTTTAGTAGCTAATCGCTTGCTGAGGTTATCAGTTGGCCACCTAATCAAACCCAGTAGCAAAAGCAACTTCGTCATTGTGTCATATTGTGGCAACACTAGCACGGCTCTCTTTCTTATCCCTAGGTGCGGATTCAGAATTTTAACTTAATGCTTTAGATTTTTATATTTTATAATTAAATTCATTACACAATAAAAACTACTATAAATATAAAATATGTATATATTTAATGAATTTTGATTGTTTTTTTTATATATATATTTAAGTTTCGTATTAAAAGTATTGAGTTCAATTGAACCCGTAATATGCTAGCTATACCCGACTTGCCAAGAGAACATGCGGTTTAATATCTTTGGTCAGCCACTGTCAGCGCTGGTGCCTTGATTTTGTGCAAAGAATACTATAGGGCTTAATATTTGATTGCGACATTTTTTTTTTGATTTTCTTCTAAGGTACAATACCTAGTCATTTTTGTATTTATATGTATGCTGGATTTTGGGAAATCATTTTTATATATGCACACACAAGTACTCCATTAAATACTATTGAATTGTTTTTAAAAATTAAAACACGTTAAATCAGAAAACCAAGTGTAACATCCTAATATGCTCTCCCTCTAAGTTTTTCTTTTTATTTTTTCTTGTGAATCAAAAGAATTTCATGCATTATGTATAGTCGAACTCGGTTGGCGGATGTTAATCTGTGACGTGGGACAAAAAGCTAATATAATGTTGATATTTCATGTGTTATACTCCCACCGTTTACTTGGCACGTTTTGATTTTTTATGCCCCTTAAGAAATAATAAATGAAGTGCATAATTTAATATGATACTCATATTAATTGATGCATATTTTATTAGATTTGAGAAAATGATTTGAAATGAGTAATAAATATGGTGGGTATAACAGGAAAAAAAATTGTCTGCTCTTGATATGCGTAAAGTGATAAAAAAAAAATCTATTTTTAGTATACATGCCAAGTAAAAGTGAACGGAGGGAGGGAGCAGGTATTTATGTATCATTTACTTTTTGACACTCATAGTAATCTGTATTCGAAAAGTACATTTTGAGAACAGAAATTAAGTAAAACAAAAAATGAACAAGAAAACGGAAATTAATTCGCGCCACCTGATCCACAGTATTTCTTTAAGGAACTTAATCCCTCCTAGTATCCGGGGTTTAGGATTATTTCCTCCCAGGATAAAACGGATTACCCTCACTGATGTAGCGGTACTTCAAACCCCAATGACCAATGAACTCAAAGATCGGCAGTAACTTGCACTTACTTTTATTTACCTTTTTTTAAAAATAATGCAGAAGGAAGAAGAGAGTTCAGAATTTTCGTAAGAAAAATATGAGGGAATGACTAGGTATTTATAGGGGACTTTTACCTAGTTATACTATATTAGAAATTTATTTACCAATGTTCTCTATGTTTTGTAGTTTTTAATAAGTATCTAGGTTTTTCTTGCAAATTGTGTAGATTGCTCCTTAAAAGGCTCCCACCCCATTATTAGTGTCTTCAATTAAGAGATTCAATTATATCATTTCCTTTTTTTCCCTGTCCTCTTCTCTCTCCTTTTTTTATAACAAAATTCCTTAATCTACGCCCAGAATCTCCATCTTCTCTCTTTCCTCCACTGCCGATAATTTTATATTATTAAATCATCAATCGCATCGTTCTTTTGCTAGGAGACCGGACAACACTGAAAATGAAGAAATATCCATGAATTGTATGATAAATGTATCATAATTGTATTTAAATTGTATCAAATACATCAATACGTAAAATGTAATTGTATCATACTTGTACCACAATTGTATATAACTTGTAGATGGTATATTAATATCCAAAATAATATCTAATACAATGCTAATAATTAATATATAATTATCATATATTTGTGATACAAACTGTGAAATTCGTCACGATCTCACAACTGCTCATAATTCAAATACAAATTTGATAAAATCCTGAAAGAATTCTTACACAATTATGATACAATTTAAAACCGACTCTAAACTTAAACTGATACAATATTATATTATACTTGTATTAGTATTATATCATGTATTGTTTTAGTTACAAATTGTGATACAATTCTAAATTATGATACAACTTTGATCTTCATCTTTTTTAAGTTTCAATTTAAAACATCCACCTAGAACCAACTCTAAACTTAAATTATAATACAATATTGTATTTTAATAGTATTAGTATCGTATCAGAATTGTCTTAGGTATAGATGTATCAAATACAACTCAGATACAATTATGATACATTATCGTAATACAATTCTGAAACTTCATCTTCCTCGAGTTTAATTATGAAATTCAGCCTAAAACCAACTTTAATGTAAAGTGAAGCTTACCCACAACTTGATTGTAGAGCAAATCTTGAATTTCTTTTGTATTGTATAAATAAGAAAGAGATTTTGGACGATTAAAGAGAGAAATCGTATATCAACTGCTTTGGAAGAGGAAAGAATCTGCAATTTTGGGGGGATAACAGTGGAAGAGGAGTGAGTAAGTGAGATTTTGGTTAGACATATTATGGGTATCAATGGGTTTCTTACTGTGGGTAAGTACAAAGAGAGGTGATGATTTTGGAGTTCTGTGGGTTTCTTACAGTGTGATTTTGGGTAAGTACAAAGAGAGGTGATGATTTTGGGTAAGTACAACGACGGATATAATTTTTCTTGAAAAAAGGAAGAGCATCTTAAATGTAGGGGATTATGTGTAACTGATACCCAATATTTAAGGTATGTTTCATTTCCTCATTTTTATGATTTTGTATAAAACTAGTAAATATAGGTATATAAAGTAATTAATAAGGAACCTAAATAAAGGTAGTAAATATATTTCTATTATAGTATAGCTAGGTAAAAATCCCTATTTATAGCCAACAGGGTGAGTCCAAACGAAGTGGTACAACTCTTTCAGATGTTCTTTCGCGTAAAATGGCTATTACGGAAATGGTCATAAATATATATACGAAACAAATAATTTGGTCCCATCAAATCTATTTTCCTCTTCCAATATGGGACAATGTTACTTTGTAAAGGACAAAAATTTAAAATTTTATTTTCTCTCCATTTACCATTCATTCCATTTTTGAGACAAAAACCCAACATCACTTTCATCACAAGAATAGTTTTATGCGTAAATTTGGTTCCAAATTCACCATAATTGGTAGCGAAGGCGTAACTAAAAGGCAAAATACATTGTTTACCCATCCATCTTGCACTCAAATCCCTATTACACACCTTTCAATCACGGATAACTTTTTACACATTTAATCTTTCTAGAGTGTGTCTAAGACGCACCACTTTACTCACGTGGTTAGTGCGTATTTTTACCAACAAAAGAAGCGCGTGAGCAGTAGAATTTTTGTATCAGAGGTCAATTTTTTGGTTTTCTAAATTTTTTAAATAGGGTCATCTTCTTCCTTGTTTACAAAATCACCAAACCTGTCATGGCTTCTCTTGATACTTAAACCCACTTCTCTCTACCCAATCTACTTCTTCTCAAATAGACCCACCAAGATTTTAATATTTCTTCTTGTTGATTAGTTCTTGGTTTTGTAGACTTTTTGTTGAGAAGTTATAATTAGAATTCAACAATTAAAGCTCTTTGTAGCTCCCCCGACCATTTAAACTTGGCTCAAGCTTATGTATAGAAGATTATTTTTTCCCAAAAAAGCTTAACTTGAGCTTTTGCCATGGATAAAACAATTTTTTCGAATAATGAGTTTTTCAAAATTTTCCTCGGCCATTAAAGCTCAACTCAAGCTTTTGCAGATAAGTATATTCTCTGATTTCGTTAATGGGTGAATTTACAAATAACTAATCGTAAATTTTTTAATCTTCTTCACTAAAAAATACACTTTCTTCTTTACTATTACTACCTCGTTGCTTCAGTTGTTGGAATCAAAAGAGCACAAACAACAAGTGAAAGCATGGTTTTGAGCAGTTATCATGAACAAGATGAAGAATGTTTACCCTAAAATCGGATAACAATTGAATTTATACACGGTTTTGAGGATACGTGATATCACTTAGTACAAATTAAAGAGAATAAATTAATATTGAAATTGACGATAAAAGAATAAATGCAAATCACACAAATTGAATAGCCTTGGCCCTCGAGTTCAGTCACCCTTGAACCAAAAGATGTCTCAACTGACTTATGAACAGAGTAATAAGATAATAAAAACTAGAAAATGACAGTATATTTCTTTGTATTGCGTGAGAATGATCTTTTTTACAAATGATCAGACCCCCTTTATATAGTAGGGAGTCCTACCCTCGATACAAATCTATATGAGATAAGAAATCTCATGATTAGCTAATTAATCTGTCACGACCCGGATTTTCCACCCTCGGGGGTCGTGATGGCG